GGAAATATAATTTTCACTTTTATATTTTTGTTATTAAAATATAAACATAGTATATGTACAAACGAATACGGCAATACTTAATGTCTACATTATATCACAGTGTAGGTACATTTCACGCTTTTTCTCGTCATAATTATGTTATCAAGAACGGGACTTGTCTCAGTAGGGCGTGTTGAGTGTAGAAATCTAATTTTTTACTTTTTAATTTTTAGATTAACAATTTAAAAATAATACATTAGATAAAACTACAAGAGTTAACCTACATAATTATTTATATTGGTATTTTAAATAAATTATTAATATGACATTTTCTAAGTTCCCAAAACATTGAATTTTCAATTAAGTTTTGATCAGGAATTTTTATAGGTTTACTGATCTATAATTTCCTTAAACAAGATGTCTAAATTTCAAAAAAAAACTTTGGCTTATAGAAAAAAACTGAATTTACCAAATATATCATGTCTTTAGTTTTAAGTTGTTCTATATTTCTAAACATTAAAAAAAAAACAGTTATTTGAAACACAAAATCAATGTTCTAATTGAAGATAAAAGAATTTTATCTATAAAATAAATATATATAATGATGCTTCATCGTTGTTCGCAAAAACAGTTTCCCGCAAAATGAACCACTCGGCTACAGCAATCCTAGTGGTCCTCCAAAAAGGTTATATTTTACATTTTAAATTATAACATATTACAGTTCACACCTTCACACATCACAATGTTAAAAATAGATAAACCATTAAAAAAAGTATCAACTTGACGGTTTCGATTAAATTTTTAGGAGTTACATTCCGTAAACAAAATAAACCACTTTTAAAAAATATAATTTATGTTCTTGTTATTTTTTTTACAAGTCTATTTTTAGCAACAATAATTAAAATAAACTTTCAAAACATTTTTCACTTCATTATGTTCATGCATATGTAATCATATAATAAAATACGAATAATAATTAGTTTTTTATACAAATTTAAATAATGACATATTCTAGTCAACCGACTGGAAATAAATATCATGTGCATACGTCATTACTAAACTCACAGCAGATTATTTTTCCAAAAAAAAACTTTTATTTTCCAAAATAACCAATCATACTATATAGACTATTGAGTAAAATATTAAACTTTTCATGATTATAACATAAACTAATAATAGTGCACAAATTTAAACTAAGGATTGCAATTTACTTATTTAGTCAGGCATTAGAATTATACTTATCTAGGTAGGTACTGTAATTAACGGGTGGGTTCATTGAATTTTTAGTATACACATTTGAACATAAATGTACAGTTTAAAGAAAAATGTAGGTATTTAAAACGATGAACTTAATAAATATTACAATTAATATCATACTCGACTTTTATATATTATAACCAGTTAATAATATGAGATTTGAAATGGTTGAGAATGATTTTGACGACTTCAATTTATTATGAACATTTTCCGACTGAATTTAAATTTGCTTTTCATCACCAAATTATTGTGTATTCATTTATGATAAATTATTAAATATTTATTTTTAAATGTCACCAATCAATTTAACTCGTAAAAATACACATATCCTTAAAATAATGTACAAATAATAATATTTACGATTCAATGAAAGGAAATTATTGGAACCATTTTTATATCCCACAATTATATTTCCAAAAACGATTTTTATTATTTTATTAAAGAGGTGGAAACAGTTTATCGACATAACTCAGTAGAAAAAGTTATAAACAAATAAAAAATTGATAAGCTATAGTAGATATTCGTAAATAATCATTTGTTGTTTTTTTGGTAGGTAATATAATAAAATATAAATTATAATAGGTACCTGCATTAGTATAATATGTATAGGTATACGAATTTAAATTTCTCTTTTAACTATTCCAACATAATAATTTCCTAACAATTTCACAACAAATTGCTATATCTCGTATATTATACCCAATACTAATAAATTTTAACTATCAAGAAATAAAATAAAAATTATGATGATTATTCTGGTGTATATTTTGGTGATATAATGATGATTTGATAACATATTAACATGTCATTAAAAAGGTTAAGATAACTAGATTTATATGCAATTATTTATTTTATTATTTAAGACTTAAGATACTGAATGAACCAAAGAGTTGGTGTTACAACCGTGCGTCTTTAAAAAAAATTGTTTTGTACATCATGTTTTGGAACAAATATTTTTCCACAATATAGATGGGTAACATCAATTTTGTTTTTTGTTGTAATTCAAAAATGAATAACCGTAGACACGTGCAATTTTTAACAAATATTTATATTATTGTTTTGTAATCACGTAATAATTTCAAAAATATGTAGACATAACAAATTTTAGTTTTTTTCAAGTTTTGGTTAAACAAAAATACTGACGGTTGCATAAAAATGAAATACAATATTCTTCATCAGTTATTAATTATTATTATGTCAGTTAAAAATTATATAAAATACATAGTCACTACTTTTATAAGCGTTTTGCAGTTTAGATACATTTAAATTTTGGTGGAATTCTAAAAATACAAATCCTAGGACTTAGGAATTTTTGCGTTAAATATTGTATTATTTTCTGTTATTACGCGAACGACAAAGACATTTTAAATACCTAGGTAATTGTAAGCTATTTATGCCATAACCCTATTAATAATTTACAATATGGTGGTATTGGCTAACTAATTCATCATAGTATTATACATAATCATCATCATCCAAGTGCATTGTATAATATAATGTTATAAGGTATTATAATTATTATCAAATAATATTTACTATGTTTATATCAAAAATGAGTTCAACCTATACTGTGTAACTTATGATAGAAAAATAAATAACTATAAATAAATAATTAAATATATACAGAATATAGAATATTCTAAATCTAAAAGCTATAAAATAAAAAAAAATATAGAAAATACACAGGGAAATCAATTTTTTTTATAGTTTTTAGTTAAAATTTTGACGGAAATTCAGAAATTGTTTTATTTCTAAGAACTCATAAACTTTTTAGTTTTAATATTTAAGGTTTAAAAATGTTATACTAGATTCCTTATAGTTCTTACTGGAATTTGAAAATATCGACAATACTATAAACATTTTTTTTTTTTATTGTCATTTGCTGTTAAAAGTTTGACGATATTTATTCGTATGAATGTTTTAATATTTAAATTATTTTATTTAGGTTTTATTTTTTTAATGATTTAAATTTTTTTATCTTTCAATATTTATTGTTAAATAACAGTTTTTCCTTTAATAATTTTAGTTATTTTGTTTTAATTTAAAAAATAATGATCATAAAATGAGTTTGAAATCTCGAAATAATTTATTGTTACTTAAATTATCATTTTCAGATTTTCTACACAATGGAGATTTCAAATAATTTAGCTTAATTTTAAGCCCATCTTCAAATTTTTAATTAATCTTTCTTTAAATATTGATAAAAAAATTCTCGCTGGTAAGCTTAACAATTTATTACAAAGTTAAAGTTGCAATTATACTGTGATTTAAAAATATTGAAAATACGCATATACACAGTATTTTTTTTTGTTTAAAGTTTGAATATTGTCAATTTCAGAAATTTAAATGAAAAATAATGGTTTTATTTATTAAGCTTACTTGTTATAGTTCAAGAAATATTGAAACTTCACACCATCATATTATTATTTTTATTTGTTAACTAATTTGAATCTATTTATACTACGATACTATTTACATCCTTCTATAATAGTCAGGTACGTCCGTATTGACGACGTATAAATTAACAATTAAATAGTATATAGATAATGCTTATATGCAATGTTTTTGAAAAAAATTTTTATTACATCGGTATGTCAACTTATATGTTAATAGAATTATAATAATATTATATCTATTTAATCAATTCGATGCATTTGGAAAAAAATAGTATAACACTGTTTAGGTAAATCTAATAAAAAATGGTCCTTAAAATATCAGCAAGCCCCTTCAGAACAAGAAGTCTTGCTCCCATATTTTTTTATTCAAAAGCTACCTACCATAGATATATTATTATGCTTACATGAAGTACCTCACAAGTATCCAAGACAATAGGATGTGTCTAAGTATAGTTTTAAATTCAGAAACGATTAATTCATATACATTACGCCAGATATAGGTACCTTTATTTATAATACCAAAATAACATTAAGTACACATTAATACATTATTTTATTTTTGTGTTCATACACTGTGTTTGTTTGTCTTAATATTTTTAATTCACCAATTGTTTGTAATATATATCAGTTAAAATCTCAATTCTATAGATACGAATACAAACTTATTGTAAAGATTACAAAATATATATATTTTGCTGTAAAAGATTAGATAGGTATAGTCTGGTACAGTGTACCCGTAGGACCTGTATAAGATGAAGATTTCGCGCATTTTAGTATAACTTTCGTTATCACAATAAACAATACATCTTTTTTATGTATAAGTACTAATATAATATGAATTGATATACTGTATATACCTATAAGTCGCTTTGCAGAAATACCAAATATATTTACGTATAACATATATACGAGTACCTACATATGCATTAATATAAGTCTATAGTTCTTAAACAAATATACTAACAAAATATCAAAACATCCCTCACTACTTTATATAGCAGCATTGTAAACGCTGTAAACCAAATGGTTGAATAATTATTATTGTTGAAGAAGTATCATAATATATAGTATAATATAAATAATATATTTTATTGTTGCTTTCAGATACATGGTATTAAAAAAAAAAAAATGGTTTAGTTTTATTTTATATTTTTACTCCAGTAAAATCGATCTCTTGACATACTCAAATATATATATATATACACTATACAGTATACATTTTACATATTATTATGGGTGGAGACTGGAGAGACTTGTTGCACACCCCTCATAGGATCGCCAACGAACACTCGGAGCGCCCATTTATGTATGTGTGTGTATATGTGTGTGTGTATACGAACCCAAAAGGGTATATAAACCCAAGTCGTCAATGAAAACTGTCTTTTCCTGTACCATCGTCAGCAGCGTTAAAACGTTTCTATAAGTACTTATTAACAAAACTTCAATTTATATTTACCGTTTTAACAACAATAACTACATACGTACCTACTTCAAGTCTACGAAATGTAAGTATAAAAAATTACATATAATATAAAATTATACATTTTGTTTAATTATATACAATTTATAATATATGTATGCAATAAAATATAGTTTAAATACATTTATCATGTTTTTAAATAATTTATTAAGGGTTTTTAAATTAAATAGCTTAATTTTCTACTTAACTATATTCATAAAAATTGTGGTATAAACAACGGTGTTCTAGCAATTTGTTTATTTATTGAAATAATACGGGCAATGTCCAGTTCAAAATATGCTTACAACGGACAAAAGTTAAATGACAAATAATATTTACAATAATGAGTACCACTAACAAATAAAAATAATAATAACAACGATAACTTCTATACAATATAAAATAATATCTTAATATTATAAAAAACCAAACAAGGAGTGATAGGTGCCTACAGTAATGAATTAAAGTAGGTAATAAAGAGTAATAAATCAACTCTAACTTTTTTAATAAAACTATTTAGAATTGTCATTACCTATATAACAATTTACATTATTATATTTGAATTTGTAGAAATAAAACAATATTATTTAATACAGTAATTACTATATTATATAATTGTATAAACTTAATTTAAAATTCTTATCCCAATCAATTAGTTGTTTTTTTCAATTTTTTTTTTTTGTAAGAAAGTAGCCGTGGCAACTATGGCTATTAGTTATTTTATATTTCATACTTACATATATTATTGCATACCTGCCTAGTAATTTTGTAACTAATTGCATTATTTTGTTTTAATTATTCATAATTATTAATTAATATCTAAGCTCCTATACTATAGAATACGATGTCTTTGTAGTCTTCGTATAGGTACCTATTCCATTTTTAAATATGTAAAAAGTGGAATTGTATATTTAACACTTCATCAGTCAACTTTAGTTCATCACTTAATCAAATTAAATTGGTAAACGTTTGTGAATTACCTTGATATATATTGAAAAAAATATAACTAAGTAGGTATATTTATATGCTACACAATTAGACCGTTATAGGTAACTACAAGTTACAACACTAGGTTTTGTGCGAGGAGGATAATACAATTCTATAAAGTACAAAAATACATTAAATATATATGCTTATATAGTTATATATGTATACTAAAAATTATCGTCCACGTAAGTGAACTTAAAAATAATATTTGTTTGGTTTAATTGTTTCATGTATTTACAATTTAATAAATAATAATAATTAAAAATACGCTGCACTTAATAGAAGCAATAATAAGTAAAACCCTAGTATTTTGATCATAATAACTGAATGGTGATAAACAACCACAATACTTAGCTGCCTATACGGCTATATGCCTATATTATTATATATTACCTATATAAGATATTGATTCTAACTTTTTATTGGCCTTCAATTTTATCAATATAATTAGAAGTAATTTTTAACTAAACATAAGTTACCTAACTATATCAAAACTATATAAAAATTAGTAATTACTATTACTAGTTATATCTTTTAACGCATAACCTAGTTATTGAAAAAAATTGTTACACGGACTATAGTGTGAGAGTACAGAAAATAATTTTTACGTTTCAATACTTTAAATATATGAAAGAAAAATTTACTTGCAATAACTAATACCTCGAGTACTCAACGTAAGTTACATTTAATTCAAAACAAAATTTAGTATTTCTTGTGTTACCTTTTTATTATTATTAAAAAACGCTGTAACTTAATAAGTTAAATTGTATATGTTACTAAAATAAAATAAATTATTACTTACTAATTGTAGTTTGTATTTACGTCTTTTAAACATATTATTATTTTTAAATTATCCATTAAAATTAATTGTTAGATTAACTTTAATTAAAGTATAAATTTTAAATGATAGACAACTTGAAATAGTCTTTATTCAAGATCAAATTGTCATGTATTTTAATTTGAAGATAAACGTAGTATAGCAATAAAACTTAATATTAAGAAAATATTGTGAGAATATATTTATTTGTATTCACTTAAAACGTTTGAACAAAACTATTGAGTACTTATCAATATGTTAATTGTCTATAGGTTCTAGATATACTATAACATATGGACTGAAACCAATGGTTTTATGATGAAAAGTTTTTTTTTACTTTTGTAGAGACTTGACATTTTCAACAAATGTCTATATTATCTTATTTTGGATATTCAAATACGTTTTTAAAATAATATATCGGCTATTTTTGTTTTATTTGTAGATATTTAAATTTGTATATTTATGTTGATACAATGTTTGATTGTAAGCAAACAGTATAATACAAGGCTCCTCATATGTTGTTCTTACATCAACCTAAAAATATCAAAATAACATGCCTATGCACTATTTTCATATTTTTTAATAGAATGGTGTCGTTCAAAAAAGTGAAAACTTAATATTAATGAAATAATTTTTTTTTAAAAATATTGACATAAAATTATATAAAAACAAAAATAGCTATATATTAAATACTATACGTCATATTTAAAGATGTATGGCAATTTATTTCATTTAAACAATTGTATCCTAAATATTATAGTAAGAAGGTACGTTATTAAAAAGTTAGCTGCAAAATCATCACAGCATACAAGTTAAATTGCATAAAAATAAAATGATGACAATGTTAAGACACTCATATTTCATATGAATCCTACAGTATTTACGGTTTTGAAGAAATATAAATTCTATGAGTATTACCAAACCATTTTAACAAATATATTTTTTTACTAAATTTACTAAAAATAACAGGTATTTAATTTCAATACAACTAGTGGTCTTCCCGTGAATTTTAATTGATGACTGGTAAAAATGACTTGTTATTCCTACTATTTTTTTCATTCATGAAAATGTTTTTTTATTTTTAAACTATGAAACAACATTTTTACACTCTTGGGATTAATAAAAAAACAGTATAGTTTTTATTTAAAAACAATAACATATATTATAATAATACATATGTATACACATGTATACATATGGACACATATATTATTTTAATGAAAAAAAAATTAAAAATGATTGTGTATTGTTAAAATAATTGTTATCTTTTTATTATTTTTAAAACCAAATAACTTCACCTCATATGAAATTATTTAAATTTTCAATCCAACAGGGAATATTTTATTATTATTTCCATTTAGGTGATACTTGATCACTGGAGCTTAGACACAAACTAAAATATATATTTTTAGCTGGAGTTGAGCTCGTTTTATACATTTCATACGTAGAACTTTCCATTTTAAAAAACTATGTCGATACTAAAAATCTGATCTGGTTTGCAGCGTCACCATACTAATTTGTTATTCTATCACGTATTCGTCGTTGTTGACATGTTTTAATTGTATTTCTTTCTCGGGATTATTATGTAATCACTATACGTACACTTTTAACAGTCTCAAATGGCGCCCCCTATGCATTTTTAACTTTCACACATCGCTGCCATATATTATTGTTGTATGGACCACTAATTTCTTGGACGCTTTTTAAAATTAAATTAAAAAACACGATTTTAGTGTACACGAAATTTAAAAAAAAAATGGGAATTTTTCAACATACCTTACAAACCTGTTTTCACGCATTTTCTAGACTAAATAGCGATAATTATATTAATGTAAAAATATATCATTAATATTTTAATAATTTCACTCATACCTAACTAATGTTATTACACCTACTACCTTAGTATGTAGTTAAATAAATTATTCTGATTTCCAAATTGTGAAGCAGTAAATAAAACCATAGCCATGTACAGACTTTTAAGTTTGGGCCCTTCCTTGGATGATTCCAAGATTCTTTGCTAAGGTCTTCGTAAATTTCAAATTATTTTAAATCTTAGGTGTAATTTAAAAATGCAAGTAATAAATTACATATCATGTAGTCAGGGATTGGAAAATTGCTTGATTAGTTTTAACTGGTTACAAGTTACTTAATTATTTATTTTTATTTGTATTGAATTTAATTGGTACCTATTGAATTATTATTCGTTATCGCTTGTCATTATTTGTATCATGAGTCATTTTAAAAATGTTAATAGCTAAGTTAAGAACAATAATAAATAGTAAATATTGTATTCATAACAATAAAATAGTTGTCAAAACTCAAAAGTCAATAATTGTATTGCTTGAATAGTTGAATAATGCATCCGTTGATTATGGTCGGTGGGCAAAATAAACTTCAAAATAATTAAAAATATTAATAGATCCATAATTTGTAATCATATTAGAAACCATTCTAAGAATAAAATATTTTAGTGGCTTTTTCCATACGTCTATATCATTCAGGCAAATAGGTACATTATACAATCAAACTTTACCAGTTTTTTTAATTGAAAACTATTAGTAGATATTAGTAGTTAGTTTATTAAAGATGGAAGGCATTGATAAATTTAAATAATGAAAATTTTAAGGTAATTATAATATGTAATTTAAAAATACATAAGTATATATATTTTTTTAATAAAATAAAACAAAAATAAGATCCTTTGAAGAAGGTAAAAACTATTGGTGAATATAACAGTTTACTTTTGAATACGGTTGACTAAATCAGTCGGGCACTAAGTGCTTACAAAATAGTAGTTAATAAACTAAATTGGTTTGCACCTACCTACTGTTATTTTATACTGAAGAAAGCAAATCACATGTCAATTTAATAAAAGTTCCAATGGGGTTCGCCACTCTCAAAATAAAGTAAAAATAACTTGGTACCTATAAACTCTATATTATGTTCTACTTCAATCGTTTTGTACTCGCGTAAAGAGCTTTCTTCTACAATAATTATTTGTCTAGGATTTTTTATCTTTATTGCTTTTTTATTTCAATAAATATTACAGTAGTAGTCAAAAGACAATTGTGATTTTCATTATGTAAGTAATTTTTTTAAATGAAAATAAGAATTTTAGTCAATGGTTTATTTTTTAACTAGGTAGGTTATGTACAACTTTACTGTATTTTGCTTTACCGAGTTCTTTTTAAATATAAAACAATAATACAGCTAATTATTTTAAATTAAAAATAAAATTTGTATTTCAAAAATAGAGTTTTAAAATATGTATCTTTTTCTATGGTATTATATATTTAGGTACCGAAACCATTCTTCACCGAAGTTCAAGTACTATTACACCTCACAATAAGACAATGTACCTACGTCAGTACAATTACTACAGTAGAACAACAATCAAAATCCAACAACCATTAAAAATAATTAACACAGACTTTGGTAGTTTGTTTATTTAATATAAAAAATTTAAATAAAATTTAAATAAATACAGATACATTTCGAAGATCAACACATATAACTAAACCAATATTAACTAAATATTTCTTGTTATGAATAGGTTTTAACTGTTTTTAATTTTGTTGTTAAAAAAAATTAAAGGATTTATAAATAAATTTCTGTTAATTAAGAGACGATTTTAGAGTATCCCTTTTATTAATGAATTCTCTTACTCCTTAGATATCTTGTAAATCAGAGTTGACCAATTGCAGCCTGAATTTCGGTAGTCGTATTTTATCCTAAATATAAGTATCCCGATCGAGTCCAAAAACACTTTGGTTCACAAAATACCTTATAATTTTATATTATACTATTATAGTAGTATAATATACTATATTATACCTTATATTTTAAATTCAAAATTTTATTATAATATGATATACGTCATATAATATATATATATGTCTCGTTTATGATTATTATAAATAATATACCGAAATCTGTGACCTCTATTAGAAAATTATTAATTAATAATTTCTGATTTTCTTAACTGTTTAGTTAGGTACCAAATAATAAAGTATTTCAAAATTATTAGAAAACAAGTATAAAGTATAAAAAGTATTTAAATTACATGGCAAGGATATTTTGTATTTTAAATACTTTCTGAATGGATGTATTTGTATCTGTATTTAAATATACAATTTTATGCTTTATTGTGTCGTTTGACAAAACTTTTACAACTTTTATTTGTACAACACCATTTTTCTATTTCATTCGCTAATAACTTATGAAATCGAGTTTAATATTTAAATATTACTAATATTGCTTTATCTTTTTCGCTAAGCATTTCTTAAATTTCCATCATTTAAGCTTTATAAAACGAAGAATTGAACGACACTAACAGCACAATATACACTGTGTTCTACTAGCAACCTAATCTTGCAATCTTAGAGTTTATCTGCTTTTTTTTATCTTTAATGGACTGAAAATTACATATCGGACCGCAATCGGGATATTTATTTAGTTTTGATAACCACTTAAATATTATATCCTACCTACTATGGACAGGCCGCAATCGGAATAGGTGAAAAAGTAAAAAGTTTACTTTGGACCGCAATTGGGCGACGCCCTTGTAAATTACCACTCAATTTGGAAGTTATAATCGTATAGCCTAAAAGGAGTTAGTGCATGGTATAATTTAATATATCTTTTACTATTATTATTATTTATATTATCAACTAATAATGTGGAGTTACTTAAATTGTACAATACAAAAGTAATTGATATTTCATAATAAGACATTCCGTTTATGGCACAATATTTGTTGTAATGTAGAATAAATATATAATATACATTATATTTATTTAAAAAATCACTCTTATAGTTTTTTTTTTTCAGACGTAGGTAAATAAATTACAGCTAACGTTTTATCCATGCATCAAAATAATAATTCAAACATGATCAGAGTTATGGTCTACATTGGATTCGTTATCTATGTGATGGTCTTGGCTACAACATGTTGCTGTCATCCCGTGACGTCTTCTGAAGTGGAAAGTATAGCTCGACCTACACGACCTAAAACTTTCGGTTCTCCAGATGAATTACGTTCATACCTAGACCAGTTAGGACAGTACTTGGCAGTAGTTTCTCGTCCAAGGTAAGTTTATTCATACCATTATTTAATTAAACGAATACAGTATAAAGTAAAAACATATAATTTCGATTTTAATTTCATAATTCATTATATAGATGAAACAGTAGTAACAACTAAATCGAGAAAATTAATATCGTAATTACAATTTGTTCGACTTATGTTATCACAATGCCTTTAATTATTTAACTATACAAATTAAAAGTATGGGTTATAATTTAATTCAAATATATACTAATAATGTAGTGTGTTCAAAACCTACCTAACTCATACTCAACCTACAAAACAATAAAAATACCGACCTAATTGTACCATTTTACTATTTTTCCTTGAACTATAAAATCTAAATTTCAAAAAATTACCTAAATGTTATTAAGAAAACTTAAGTATTATCAAAATTATAAACTATTAAATGTATCAAAAAAATATTGTTTAAAAATAGGTTTGGAAAAAGGAAACCTGCACTTCCAGTCATCCCGTCCGTAATCACAACACCGAGATTACAACAGTACATCGACCATCAACGCATGCTTAACAGTATTATAAACCGGGAAGACGAAGAGGCTTATAAATTACAATATAAACCGGCTGCTATAAGAAATTCAAAAGACTTGTACGACATGTTATTTACGACACGTCGCGAAAACGGCAATAATGACCGTCATCAATACTATTTAATGCAACAAGATATAACGAATGCAGACATTGGTTTAGACTCAAATTAATTTTCATTGAAATGTATTTGTAGTATAATAATGTATTTGTATTTCTCAAAAACTTTAGTCATGTACAGAAACTATTGTACTAGTTATATTATTAATATAAGAATCTTATAAAATGTCGTTAATTTAACAGTATAAATAAAATCCATAACAAGTGTTGATATATAGGTACATATCTGATACCTATCTGTATTCTGGACATTAGTATTATATTAGCTGAATTCAATACTATATAAAATAAAAATATCGGTTTGTTTTTAATTTTTGGTTCTGAAAAATAAACAACTTTTATAAATACAAAGAGCCATTATTTAACTGTCAAGTAATGATGTGAAATAAGTGAGGTTAGACTTACCGCCTACCGGCTACATATATACCTATATGACATACCTAATAATATACCTAAGTACAATGTGAAGTACATATATCTATGGTCTTAATGTAAAGGCAATTATTATGATCTATTTATCTATAGTAATTTATAGATCGATTAAACTACCTATTTAAACTATTAATAATTCATTGGAAGTTTCACTAAACGGTATGATCCATGGAAACAATAATAATATTATGAAAATATTACACCATACGATATAACTATAAGGTAGATCAACATAACTATAATGTCATAATATACTTATATTTATCATTAATTCATTCGAAAATAAGTATTGCACAGGGTTCTTAAAAAGTGTATCTATTATAATGTATAATATATGACATACTGCATGGTACACAGGTATCTATACCTACATGCAGACTACAGCCCAAACGTTATGTTTAAGTTATGCATCCAAAAGTCTAAACGTAATTACAATTTAATTTCCACCCTGGATCCCGATGAATCAATATAAAAGGTACCTTGTCTAGATATCGTCTAGTTGCATCAATCCTACATATTATATTAATACATAAAGTAATAATAAAAAGATGGGTAAGTGGGTACCTCTCTGCTGTACAGTATAGATAGTTTTGAGTGGTAGGTACTCCAAATACAATGAATGTGTTAAATTTGAATTCAATGATTATTGTATACGAAAAATGATTCTGAGAGAAGATGATCGTCAGCCTATAACTATACATCAAGTATATTACCCAATGATAGTTTTATAATATTGCTTTTAAAGTGACATTGTACAGAGTCGCCATAAACTATCAATACATGTCGTCATAAATTCCATATTTTGTACTGTAGCTAAACATATAAACAATTGATAGTCAGGTACGTGAATACATTTTTCACCTTTACACATTAAACTGTTTTCATTTTGATTTTCTTTAAGTTAAGTAAATGCTTCAACAAGTGACTTCTGAAATTTTGAATACTATTTTCTTTTTTCAGTGTACATACTTTTCCTAACCGTTGTAAAGTCTTTTTGATATAAAGTCGAATAATGTCTGTTAAAAGTTCTTTGCATATTATTTTATTCGGTTTTGTTGAAATGCTTTCTACTGCGTTTCGATTGCAGTTTTCACTTACAAGTTGACGTTCTATTTTTATAGTAGAGGTAGCAGGTAGAGATATCAGAATGATTATGCTTGTCGAGTCTTTCAATCAAAGGTTTTTTTTCTGAGTCTGTTAGAATGCTTGCAGTACAAATATTATTTGATCACTTCCGTTTCATCCTCGTGTCCTTATAAGTTTCCGAATAAAACGATAAAAACTATCTAATAAGTAATTAATAACATTAGGTCTTCACCTCGTTCACTTCGTAGAATTTTAATTCCGTTATATGACGAAAAAGAATATTATGCAAAATGCAAGTATGCAACGTAGTATATAATATTACAGTGCAACACCTAACCGTCATTCTCTCGTACCTGGTATCTAAGTTACTAATAATATAAGTCCAATAAATACCAACAGATTCTGGTGCTCATATTATCAATCGATTTGGTTTGTCAACGTTGGGAAAAAATCGAGCATTCTCAATAGCCAAAAATAACGTTCTCAGTCAGTCAATTGTATTTTACAAATTATTATCCGAATGATAATGGTAACGATAACTATACTGCAGTCGTTTCAAACATAGAACCGTGACAAAATATATTATATTAATTAAAATAAATATATATTTTCTCATGTATAGAACTAAAGTATTTATATATCCTAATACTTGGGTCATATAGCTTGGAATTTAATAAAAATATGTATACATCACTAATTAACCACTATCTTGAACATGTAATTTAACAAAGCGAGTAAGTAAACGCTCTGCTGTACATTAATTGTTTAAGATTCACTGTAATGGATGTGCTAAATTTGAATTCAATAGTTTAAAATCATTGTATACGAAAAACGATTCTGAGAGAAGCGATCTGCCTATAATATTACTGGGTACATTATTGTGTTATACATTATTTTGATGACATTGTTGTGATTTAAGTAACTTATTTTACTATTGGGCATTAGGACCATACTGCAGAACAGTAGGTCACTTTCATCTTTTTTAAAGTACTATCAAATTAAGCATACAAAAACTTAATTTTGAAAAATAATTAGAATTATGTTTTAACATTTTTTAGAAAATTCACTCAATATTTTGAACCATGCCTCGTTATAATTTGTATAGCTTATAACTTATAAGTTATAACATTATGCATTCATACATATTATGCATAGGTATTCGTACAAATTATTTCCTTTTTATTAAATGGATGAATAACTAAATTTTATTTATGTAGGTAACTATAGGTACATAAACCCTATACAGATATACTTTAAGGTCTATGGTACTAGAGTATAGGTAAGTAACAAGGACTAAGATATACCAAGATACCAAGATATCTTAGTCCGAGGTAAGTAGTTAATTTAACGATTCGTTATAGCAGGGGCCCGGGACTTAAAGCACTTAAAATCATTCAAATAAGCGCTTAAAAAGCGTTAAAAAACATTATAAGCACTCAAATAAGCATTAAAAAAACTTAAAATTCAACAAAAATAAAAACTAAAAAATCAAAAAATAAATAAATCTTTATTTTTATACTACAAAAAAAAAATTAAACTTCACTTTCGAGATTTTAAGGATTTTATGGATTTTCTGAAAAATAAAATGTTAACAATATTTACAAATAATTGAAAAACAATTAATTAATTAATTAAATACGCGGCAACGTAGATAAGATAAGAATTATTTTTAATTTTAATTCTATCAATAACAACTTTGCAGGAGAAAACCATAAAAAACTAGAAAAACTGATCGAAAAAGCAAAAGTAATCATAAAAACTGGAAATTAGCATTTTTTTTTAAAATCGCTGAAAAAAGCAAAAAAAAGCACTTTCAAATTTCATAATTGAACGTGCTGTAACATGACATACACTTCCATTATAGCGATCTGCTACATTTTAAGTCAATAAGCAAATGCTCTAAGTCCCGAACCCTGGTTATCACTTATCAGTTATCACAATACGTATATCTTAATTCGTGATACCAATCCACCGTGACACGAAATTAATACAGTTACAGTATACAACTGATTATAAACAAATTATATTAATACAATACATTATATGATAAATTGATACTAAGCACAATTTATATTAGGTACCTCTATCTTTCAGTTCACGCTAAATATGTGCTGTATAGTTTCATAAATCATATTATTATTATTGTTATTAATAATTATGTCATATCACAAAATATGAAAACATTTTGTCTAGATACCTGTCCTAGTTGATACTGGATTTATTATTTAGTGATATGACATAACAATAAATAATAATATTATGATTTCAAAAACTGTATACCAATTAATGTTGACAATGTTGTCATAATCAGATTAAGTGTTGTTTCTATAAACTAATGAAGATATAGGTCTTTATATTAATATTATGGAGTATTAATATAGTATTATTCGTATTTTCTTCGTGGTTACAATCATTGACTAATAGCCATAACAGTTTTACATTATTGCATTTGGTTAGGTTAGGTTATGTTTATGGTTACAGCATTATGTTCTACGGACGACGGTAGATATAATTATTTAAATGATAATAAATTACTGGCCGTCTGTATTTTCAAATAAAATCAAAAGTAACTACTTATTAGTAACCATGTAAAATAATGTCTTCTATTTTTTAAAACGAATTTCAAACTGTAAAAACACAAACAGACTATAAAAAATGTTAGTTTTTTATTATATGTTATATTAATAAAATTATAATAATCTACTATATGGACCTGCAACAGTTTTCGTTGTCTTACGGTGGTGACAATTACGCCGGAGACTTCTACTCAGAGGGTAACTTATTTTTGTTATTAAGTAAACATAGGTATTTTATGAGAACAGTATTAATTAAAAATTCAATAAACCAGATTACTACGATTTTTACGATGATCAATTAGAAGATGGAAATCAGGATTATCAGCCAAATGTGAATTCAAATATTCATAGTGGACCTACGTTTTGGAGCAATCTATCTTTTTACCAGTTGTGTGCACAATGTGTTGTGCCTGCCATTGGGAGTACTGGAAATCTACTGGGAAATACTCTTATTCTGTGCATAATTTTCAGATTATTCATTGTTATAAGTAAGCAAAATATATCATGATAAAACCGTTTTTCAATATGTGTTTATACATAAACACCATTTCAGGCAATAAAATCCAAGTGGTTCCTGAAGCAGTCTTACACACAGTTTGCGCCATATGTGGTGTTCTACCGTTAATTATATTTCATGAAGATGGAGACTTATATCAATTATTACTACAAATTGTGTTGTACCCTATGTTCTGTTACATAGTGTCTATAATATGTATATTGACTTTAAAACGTCATTCCTCTATTGTGTTCTCTGTTATAATCCTATTTACATTATTCTATCGGTGAGTTAAAAGTTAAATATGCATTATATTATAAAAGAAAACAAAATATTCTTAATATAAATATTATATATTAGATGTTAAGTACATTTATTATATGGTATGTATACTTAATTTTAAGTTAAATAACTTATTTTTGATGCATATACTCTGTTTTAAAGTAGAATACACCAATTCTGCACACTTTTTTCCTTTTACCTGTCAGCTTTGCCATTAAACAGGAGATGTGTCCGGCCGTTGTATTCTACTTTGAGACAGAGTATAGTCATTAGTTTAACCTCTATACAATTAATTTCTATTTAATGTACACACTTTTAATTAAAATTATAAATTGTATTGAATGCTGAGATGATTATAACAAAAAATAAAAGTATTTAAATGTTTTCTCTAATGAATTTAAAATAATGGTACATAATTTTAGAATAACATAATATAATTGTAAATATTAGTAAATTATACTAAAATTCTATATTTTAGTCTCAAGATTATTTCAGCTCGTTTTTTTTTTTCTCTCTCCAAACCAATATGCAGTATAACAAATTTGGGTTCAGCAAAACCAATCTTGTGTTGTTAGCTTTAATATTAGAGTGAACTTACCTATTATTGAACTTAAGTTCAGAACATTATCTGTGTTTGTAGATTTGCTATTACAATATTTCAATTATCCTGAGCTATATATGAGCATTTTTAAATTTTAACATTTCATATATATAACTTCCATAAAAATTGAAATGTAAAAAAGCCAACATTGGAAAACTGATAGTTTGTTTAACTTTTATTTTAATATAATGTTAGTTTATCATAACATCAAAACTAACAACATAAGATTAGTTCTAGTGAATTCAAGATCAAAGTTGGGTATGCTTCCTAGGACAGAGAGAAAAAATAAATAGTATTAGTGTGATAACATTTTCAAAAGGAGAAATAATTAGAAACTTAAATATTTACAGTGAATGTTTTACAAATGATTCAAAGTGGCAAAAAACCAAAAGTGCTCATATGCTAATGTCAATGAAAGCAATGGCAATATTATTTGATATTCAATCAAATAAATTAAATAAGTTTCCTTCAGTTCCTCAGTATACAGGTTACATGATGTGCGCAGGAACTGTTTATCTGGGTCCATTTTTAACATTTCAAGAATACTCAAATGCTTTTTCTTTATCTGTTTATTGGGTAATAAATAAATAAATTTATCTTAAACATTACTTTTACCATAACTTATCTTTTTTTTCATTTAAGAACAAGACCAAAGTTTGTCGTTTATTGTGGAAAATAACAATTTCGTTGCTTTGCTTTGTTTTGTCAATTTGTGTGGTGGATTGGCTGTTCAGCCAATATTTGTCTACCAATAATAAAAGGTTTGATTGATTGTAACCAAATTATATTTAATTTTCAATTTATTATAATTCTATGTTATAGCAATTCAATTATTAACATTTTTCTAACAATGTACAAACAAGCTTTGGAGTTCCGTACTGGTCATTATTTTGTAGCCTATGCGTCTACAGTATTTGCAACTGTTTGTGGGTACCACAGTGAAAACAACAGTGAAATATTAGTAACCCACCCATTGGTTATGGAATGGCCACGATCTCTTTTACATGTTGTTGTACATTGGAATGCACCAATGCACTATTGGTTGAAAAAATGTGAGTTACTAATAATTATTTTGGTATCAATATGTAAATTAATTTATACATAATATATTTGTTAATTTATTTAGATGTATTTGAAGAAGTACTGAAATATGGCAATAAAAATAAAAAACACAGAAACAGAATAATTGCTGTAGGGACCACATATTTAGTGAGCTCACTATTACACGGCTTAGAACGGCGTTTATCAGCTGTATTACTTTCTCTTGCTGCTTATACATATGTGGAACACAGAATGCGTACAAAATTGGCATCAAGATTTCCAAACAAATTTTCTTATTTTGCGAAAAACAAATATCCTCACCATGATTCAAAAACATACTTAAGTAGTTTAAACCAATATAACTGGTACTTTTGGAGTATTAACATTATGTTTACTGTTTTAAACATTATACATTTAGCTTATCTTGGTTCGATAATTGATATGTCTGTAGGCAACTCTTACAATACCACCTACCAAGAATCTTTTGCTCCTTGGAGTCGAGTATCTTATTTTAGTCATTTTATAATGTTGTTTATGTTTTTTATTAGTATTATATTATAAATCAAAATTTATACATATTTATAAGTAAATCATTTATAAACATATTACATTTTTATTTATTTGTTTACAATTGTATAAACAGTTAAACCTAATTCAAATTATTTTAAACTGTTAAAAATAAACTAAGAATTAGCAAATTTAAAAATTTGTAAAAAGGAACAATCAAAAAATGTACAAAGAAAAGCTTTGAAGTGAGTAACTGTTTTGCTTTACAGTAAGTTCACCTAAATTGAATTCAATGAATAACATATGAAAATAAATCATGGTATAATATGATAACAAATGATTCTGAGCAAAAACGATACAACTTATTCTTAACAGTAGTTACCAAACTGATTGATTTTTTTTTTTGTGTAGTAAACCACTTTTTCTAGAATGAAAAAACAAATAATTAGAAAAAAACAATTTTCTGAAATCAATACATTCATTTAAAAATCTAAAATGATAACCATAAAAATAATAGTAAAAAAATGAAACTTTTATTCATAAATATTGTTTTGTAATGACTAAATTACCTACATAAAAAATATTTTCAAAAATATAAACAGTTTTTGAAATAATAAGTGTATACTGTATATACATGTATTAAACACTTTTTTCAATTTTATTTAACCTAATCCAGACAAAAATAATAATTTAAATTGGTATAAACAAATTTTAAAGAATACAAAATTAAAAAACTCACTTAGCACATGTACAGATCTGAAAGCTGTAGTTATTTTAATAGTATGTCTTTATTACAAGCCTGGTCAAATGGATGATAATTCTTAACTGAGTTAAGGTGATAAAAAACATTTTAAAAAGTTCGAAGTTAATAGTCATCTTAATTTGTTTTAACTCAATAAGTTGAAAGTTATTTGAAAACTTATAATTAACTTAAGCTAAGTTAAGTTATTTATTTATTTGTTAATATACATATAAGCATAATTCTATGGTTTAAAATAATAAAAAGTAAACATTTATGCAATATATATTAACAATAATAATTTTATTATATTTATTATATAATTATTTATAAATGAACAAAATTGGATTTGATTAGAATTAACTTGTTATTTATTAAGTTTAAATCAATAAAAATCAGTTAAGTTAAAAATCAAGTTAATGAAAATTAAATTTCAAAGAATTACTTAATTTAACTTTTTAGCTTTTATGCCCAGGCCTGATTAATTGGTTAATTTATGACTATATAGCAATATTACATTATACTCTATGGGTGATCAGTATACTACTGTAATTTTATATTTTTATTTTTAAAATGCTCAGAGATTTTTATAGCATAAACCTTATCCAAAATTAAAAATGTTACAAAACAATTACACATATAAGAAAAACCTATAAAAATAACATTCAAATTTACACGAGCTTTAAAATAATATTTACAGTATTGTCTAAAATTATAATGTAAATGATATGTAAACAATGACATGTGTAAAAATAATTAAGTACTTATCATAGTTTTAAATAAGTTGCAGTACCTTACATTTAAAATACAATTAGCTTTAAGATCAGCTGTTTCTTAAAACAAACATAAGAAATAATAAAAATAGCTGCATAATTTCACTAGAATTTAAAGACTAGAGATTAGTAGTATGCTTCTGTTACAAATTATAACAATTTTATACTTATTATTACAAATACTTGACCTAAAAATACTAATTAAAAAATAATTATTTAAATTACCCTGTTTTTTAAATATTGCAATGGTATGGAAAGAAAACAATATAAAGGGTAATAACGAGATTCTATAATACAGTAGGTACTAATTCGGTATGCGCTCTACCGGTTTTTGTGTTCTACACTCGGTCTACATTGGGTAAGGGGATATTGGACTGCAATTACTGTGTAATATGCGTTATCTGCCTCGGTTTTATATGTTAGGTATTTCAACTGTTAATAATAACGATAATCTCTAATTATCTATAGGTACCTTAAATTGTATTACTGTTGGTTTTACTTTTATTACAGTTGTCACACAACGCTCACAAAGGTTGTTCGTAACGAATATAATATATTTTTTTTTTTAAATATTTTTAGTATTTTGTGTATTATTTATAAATTATAATGGCTGTGATGATGTTTCGTGAGTTTTATACTACAGTAGTTCCAAATGAGATTAAGTGTCATCGGTTTTTAGTAGCAAAAGGATTGTTGAAAAGTGCCGAAGACAATGACCCTTAGCATAAACGTGGCACAGAAATGCAGGTAAAACGACGGAAATGCCGTAATGAAGAGTGGATGTCGATTTTTCGGTGTCTAAAAAAAGGCTGTCAGACAACAAGATCACCACGAGCTGGTAGCAGCTTTTTTCATTTTACTGACTTGAACCAACGTTGCAACAGTGGGTTAACACTTTGTCAAATTGTTGACCTTGCATTTATGTTTGTATTGGAATTACCCCCACAAATGGTAATGAATCGAACAGGAAAAAGTAATGAGTGTGTCGCCGACTGGTTTAACATGTGCCGAGAAGTAAGTACAGCTATTTTGAAGACTAAAAAAAAATGGTTGGAAATGTACAAAATCCAAAACAGAATGACGAAGCTTGTTTTGCTGGTCGAAGCAAGTATAATAGGGGTAGATTATTAGCTGGTGACGCTCCTCCTGCCTTGACAGATATAAATGCTGAAGTAATTAATAACCGAAATCACGGTGCAAGGGTAGATGGCCCCTGGGTATTTGGTTTAAAAAATGGAAATGATTGCCGTTATTTTTATGCACATTGACGCGATCGAAAAACACTCCTACCAATAATTGAACGTGAATGCGAGGCAGGATCAGAAATTCATTCAAGCCGAGGTTTTGTACACAAGACGGTAAATCACCAAATCTCATATGTCGATGTAAATACAGGAGTCCACACTCAAAACATTGAGGGGTCATGGTTGGCCGCGAAAATTATATTATTGAAGAAAATGAGGGGTGTTCCATCATTTACAGTCCCATCTTGATCACTATTGCTGGCAACTTTACCGTCAAGACAGTCCGGACCTTTATCTCGCCATATTAGAAGACATTCAGACCGTGAATAATGGTTTTTGAATGAATATAAAATAAATCTCAGTCAAAACGACATATGAGGACTGTAGATCATACCGACTCAGACACTTGTCTATAAAGAATCATTAGTAAAATACAAATATACCGACTCAGACACTTTTCAGTAGAACACATACCGAAACAGAAACTTGTTGGTAGAGCGCATACCAAAACAGATATTTGTTGGTAGAGCACATACCGAATCAGCACCATACAGTATTGTGAACAAAATTCTATTTTTAGCAAAATGTTAATATAAATTGAGTGAGGATAGTTATTGGTAAATATTGGGTAAGAATAATTGAAATAGAAAATTTTTAACTAACCATACCACTGACACCACAACCAATGTATCTAAATTAAAATAGTTAGAACTTAACAATTATAATATAATTTGACGTTTCTTTGACCAAAAGTTAAAAAAATCTCTTTGTGACATATTCTTAGGGTCGAGATTCAATTCATAAAGTGCTTCTCTCCTCCAAATCTATAATCAAAAATAGATAGTTAATAAATATAATGAAATAGTGCTAAAAGTTTAACTCACGTTTACATCTTCTGGAGATGGTTCTGATATAATTTTATTAGCATTAGACAATAGATCTTCTTTGGTTACTAATCTGACTTTGTATAAGGCATACTTGTAAAACATTGCATAGTAATTGGAAGATAAGTCTAGTTGAAATGTAATAGCAAATCTGCTCATACATTTCTGTAAAACATAATATTAGTTAAGTATGAAATATTACTTCCATGTAGTAGCCTAAATATATTTTTAGTTTTTCTTACGTACATTGAGTATTTCAGGTCTCAAGCTTTTTACATTAAAACCTTTAAAAAGATTTATTGAATGAAACAAGGTACAACCGTATGAATCCATATTGTTAATTGGTATAACATTATTCAGTTTTCTTAAATAATAATCTATTGAAAAAAAAATAAAATTATTGTACTTGTCTTAATTTCATCCAAGGCTAGGCATTAATATATGAATAAAATTAAAGTAAATTCAGTAGTTTTAACTTTATTAATTGGTGATGCAGTGCAAAGAAAACATCAAGTGAAACAAAATTTATTTTACTTAAACTATTCAGTGAATTTTTTTAAGATTTAACTTCAATAAAAGAAAATGAATGAACAATTCGACCCAGCCCAGCCTTGAATTAATATTTATATGGTGCTAGATTTAGAGTCGCTTTTCTTGTACATGTGTAGAAAAATAATATATAACATAATCAAAACATTAAATCCTGATGGTATCTTCTATTATTTAATTGGCAGTTAAACTTTTAAATGGGACATTTTTGATAAGATGAATGGGTGTGTAGATCAAAAAGAAGAAAAAGATACTATTACACTTTCACCAAATTAAATGTTATTATTTAAGTAAAACATTTTCACTATTCATTAATAACCACCTAATCACATGGTGAAGTAGTTGAATATTTTAAACTAAACTCATAAATGGAACGCAAAGAAAATCTCAGCTTATAAAAAAAAGATGGGATGGATCATTAAATATTATTTGGTTTATTTGATATTAATATAAATAATAATTGTTCATTTTCCATTTCTTTTTGTGCCTTAAATGCTTATATTGTCATAATTTTGTAGTTCCTAATAAAATAAAACTTCATTCAAGTAAAATCACTTGCCTACAAATTTACAATGATCAAAAAAAAAGATTATTTTGTCATGTGGTACATGGAAATTTTCAAACTATGTAGGTAGTACGCCAGTACGTAGATATAAAAAGGTTGAGAACTACCGTTTTACATTATTTAGTATATTATGTTAACATGAAGGTTTACACGGATTACAATGACAGTGTAAAAGTACCATAATTTTTTACTGTAAGTGTTTCACCCAGTTTTAATTTCCTAAACCTAGCACAAAAAACACAAATTATTTGTAATACTCACCTAACATTTGACTTTCACTATTGGATACTTCTGAGTTACAACCATCCGTGTTACTGATTAAATGCACTAAAGATGTTAATGTATTTGTATTGAGCAGTACACCTGCATTGATATTTAATATACCATTGACATATTGCCCAGCATAATAATTATGTTTGTGTTTATTGACATTCAATAATGATATTAAATGTAATAAGTTTTCATAAATTAACCAAACATTGTCCTTGGCCAAAAATATCCAATCATATTTAATGTTATGAGAATTATATTTGTTATCTAAAAACATTATAGTCTGGCAGTAATACTTCCATGGTTGCGATGAATAAGTATCAGTTATAACATGATCAATATATTTGTGCTCTTGTTTACTCACATACATTTTGTTGTTTCCACATTTGTCAAGCCAAACGTTGTGCTGCATAAGTAATGAGTCAATGTCATTAATAAAAATAAGACACAAAAGTGATATGTTATTATGATTTATAGTTGGTTTTGTTAGATCCACTAGATGATAATGGTGATGGTGGTTCCACTTTATTTGACTGTTAAAATGTTTAACTGGAACTGGAGTTAACTTTGTGTTTTCTTCATAATTCATTAGCAAATAATAAGTATAAACTGATATAATGCCAATAACAAATCCCATTAATAGAGGCATTGACAATGCACATATTTTGGTCCTATTACCATTTGTGCTTCTATACACCAACACCATAGCTGTAGTTGAGATTTATAAATGTTTTAAAACACGCATTAATTATAATATCTTGACAATTTTTTAAGAACGTTATCTACAACATTCTTGGTAAATGACGATTTATTAAATCCATTACAAATTACTAAACAGCAATTTTTCTACATTTACTTGTAATTATAATTTTTACTAAAGCGAGCGATGGCTCACATACATATTTTGTTACTTGCCTACTTATCACTTCTGAGTATCAGTTTCTGATAAGACAGGTAAACGAAAGATTGTATAATACTCTATTGTCTATACATATTTTAAAAGGGGTATAGTTTATTAGGTATAATTGTTAATCATGTAATATAAAAGAATAACATTTTAAATAATTATTAATTTCACAATTCTTTTTTATTGATATAATCCTATTAAAAAATGCCTTTAGAAATAGAATATTTAGGCTATTTCTACCTTCCAATTTTATTTATTCATTTAAATAACAATACATCCCTTCTACCCGGTACCCTATACATGCTAGTATATAATATAATAATTATTAATAATATTATATTTTATACTTTAGGACTTCACACTTTTTATTTTCATTCTCTGACCAACATTTAACATGGACAATTTAAGTTCTGCTGAACCTCGCCCTAGTGTTAATATTAGTGTTAGAGTAAATAAACCTATTAACAAACTTAAAGTTCTGGGATATTATCTATGTTCGTACATTTTCTTTTTACAATAAATCAATTGTTTTGTAAATTGTACATATCGTATACGTAATATCAAATATAACAAAACCAAATATTATTGTCTACGGCAGTGTGAAAATTAGGTATTCCTGTTGTACGTTAATACGCCAGTTGGTTGTTATATTTACTTTTGCATAGTACCTACCTATGTTAATAAATTGTTAATATGTTGTAATTTTATTTAATTTTATTAAGGTAAGGTGCCTGTAACTTGAGTTATTGAGATAAACAACATAATTATACTGGTGATACAATACTATAATAACTAAATGGCCCGCCCGCATCACCACAACTTGTAAATACAAACCAAGACCCACATTTTTTTGTTAGCATTTGTGGGTGGGTGGGTGTTTAGGTCACTGTGTTGTGGGTGAGATATTAGTCTTGAAAATATTTATTCCATAGCCCATAGGCATTTCAAAAGATATCGTTGTCTCTATACTTACGGTCATATTTACTATTTATGACATGAGAATGAATAACACAAGGGTGAATGTAAGTTCCCACTCAAAAGTCAGGGTAGGTACTTAAATAAACTCTTACACGGAATTAAAATGTATCCAATATTGTGAATAGTTAATATTTCGATACATAATCGGTGTAACGTTTTCACGACAGCTATTATTATTTACATACATCCAAGATCATGTACATTATGTCTTAACGATGTTTTTTTGTATAAAATTGGTAGGTACCTATTTATTATGCATTCAAAAAAATTTTTTGAAATGAGCGTCTATCGAAAAATATAGGGTCTCCACCATGAATTAAGATATAATTAAGTATATCTTAATTCGTAGTCTCCACATAATTGAATTTGACTATGTATATTACTGAAACATCAGCCGTGGGTAGATATAAAGACTTTAGTAAGTACCTACACTTAATTCTGTTAAGCCGTATTATACCTATAATGTATGTAGAAGGTATTTCACACAATATAAAAGGCCAAAAGGAATTTCTGACTAGTGACTTTCTACTTTTAAGTTATTAGAAGATGTGAGAAAAAAAACATTAAATTATAAATAATTTCTATAATATTGTAGGTACTATAAAAACATTAAAAACCGTGTTAAGCAGTAAGCACATGCGGTATACACAATACACTATACATTTACTATGTACAATACTATTTTTTACTATTTTTTTGCTGTTTGAACCGAAGACGCCGCGATTTTATAGGTACTACACAAATTAAAAATAAAGTAAATTTAAATTTAATAAATATTTAAATTTTGAATTCACTAATAAGCAAAAAAAAAAATTAAATAAATGTTCGTTTAATGTCTAAATTATTAAATTAAATTATCTTTTTGAAAGAAAAAAAACTGGCTAAACAATCGTCAAGCTATTCGAAAAAAACAATTGTCTTAAGACGTGTACGGTTTACCTACTACCTATAGTATAACTCATAAATAATATTAGTTTGGTTATATCTTTCGTCTATACTGCGTTAATACATTATTCTATTCTGTGACATTACTACTTGTAAAAGTTTGTAAATCACACCTTTAAGTATCTAACAAAGGAAATATAAATGCCCATAATATTATACGAGGACAACCACCGTCGTCGTTGTGATCACGCCGATCCCCACGCATTATATTGGACTATTGGAGGGAGGAACAAGAGTATAACAAGCGTCCTTTCTTAATATGTCCTCGCCCACTGGACGAAACATTCTATCGAGTCATTTTTTGTTCAGGCAGGGTAGGTACTAGGTATAATATAGTCCTAAGACTTGTGTCGTTTTGGAATTTTTTCCAGCCGTACCGACCGCGACTGTCCCCGCAGTTTTCTACCTCCATGAGAACCGCGGCAAGTGCGTTTGAAATTTAAATATTCATCATTGCCGCCTACATTATCCATCTTATCTCTTTTTCATCGATCGCACCAACATTGAATATTCGACGCGATGAACAACGATCATAATAAATAAAATTAAAATAATATGTAATATAAGATATTATAACATAGTAATTTATCAAAACAGAAACACGTGCCTATAATATACTGTGTAATTATAGTCCACAACCTCCGTAAATTTGCACCTATACAGTTCGTGATCTCTCGATCGATTTAACTTGCTGCACTCTAAGATTTTATTCTTATTATATTTTTTAAATTTTTTATCACTACGAACAGTACGAACGCCATAACAACAAATTCGCGCGCACACGCACACGCACACGCATACAAGCACAAACCCAAACTACCACACATACACACACACACACACACACACGCACACATACACTGCGCGTGCACACTGCACGCACACACACGCACACACACTGCACTACACTCACACAAATTACAAACACTCGCGCGAGTCCAAACACTCCGAGCACAAGACCGCACTAGTAATAATATTATTATTTATTATTTATCATAATTATTATTGCCATTTTGGATTTTTCTCGCATATATCCGACCCCGACGAGGTCGGACAGCAGACAATACGTAAGATACGCACGGCAACTGTGTTTTCGTTTTCGTCTAAAACGTGATCCGCCGACCGCCGTGTCCGTTACTGCTAGCCGCCCGGCGTTCCGCTGAACACCAATCAACCAACCAAGTGAGTATTTTTATTATTTATTACACGTTTGTCGTACATCCCTCGGCGGCCCTCTATGGCGGTGGCGGTACCTACCCATACCATAGTGCCGTTTTGTGTCGGCGTCGAGATTTTTAAAATGTGGGTACCAAATTGTCCTTGGCCGCCGTTAGCGTTTCTTTATCAACTCATATTTTTCTCCACTTCATTTTCACCAAAAGCGACAACATTTGTTCACATTTGTTACTCATCTGTCTACCTTTTGATTTTGTTCTAACTCAGGGAACATTCATTTGGCTGCTTGTTTCTCGTTTTTGATCTTCGTGTATCATTAACCGAGTTTGAAAAATGGCCGTCAATATACTGCAGACCAACAACACTGGTAAAATCAATAACAAACGCCTGTCATTGATACAAATTGTGAAAATTGATCTGAATGCCAACTCTGAAACCTCCGATGATGGTGTCGTATACTCTCCCGCTTATATTTCCACTACCAATACTTGCGTCATGAATGGTGGAACGGCATCACAGGGGATACAATTTCAATTGTTGGGTGAGTATTAATTATTTGTTCAGTTGAAGGAGATATTCAAAATATTTTATTTTACATTTTGTTGATATTGATGTAATAATTAGCCACCTATCTATAGGTAGGTTTATTTAGTAACCTCTCATAAATAAAATGACCAAAATCTGCAGAGATAAATAGAATTTTTTTAAAGTCAGGTACTTACATTTAAATTTCAAAAAATTTTTAAAAGTATAAAACTACCTATAAAAACTAATTCACCTATTTGTTTTATTTATTTAGTAAATGTATCTTAATTATCTTTCATTAAAGCTGATGAATGACCCAACTTAAATGTATACAACTTAATAACTTCAAAATGGAATTTTATAACATTTTGTAGTAGTAACAATAGTAATTAGTAACATTTTCATATTATTATTATTATTATATTTTTATATATATAATCACTTAAAATTTTTAGATATTAAGTAATAATTAATTGTATTATACAATTAATAGTTAATAGTTTAATTGAGTAACATAGTTAAAATTAACACTTTTGTTTTTTGTTTATAACTTGTAAGTTAGTATAATTTACAAATAAAAAGTTATAATAAAAAACAAATAACCTAATATTTTAGCTTATTCAGTCTTAAAACACTCCTTTTTCAAGTCTTTTTTTTACATCATTTAATAAATACAAAATATAGTATTTAATATTTAGGTACCTACTTAAAAGTCAGTAAAAAACAATTATCAATTAGCTTTCAACCATTAATCAATTTTTTGAAAGAAATATTAAATTCTTATTTTAGTAGGATTTAAAGTATTTATACTTTTTCAACAAATGAACCCTGCTATACTAAGGTCACGTTCTGAATGCACTGAACTCAATGTGCTAGAATGATATTGAGCTGTTTGCTTTTTTAATCGAACTAACTAAGATTTGGACCAATACTATGAACAATAATATATGTTTTCTTTCTCAGCTACCAAATCTCCATTTAAATATTTTTCAATTTCCATTAGACAACTTAGTGCACAGCATAAATATAGTTTTTAACTGCGTGTATAGCTGAAAATTAGATTATGTATTTAATGATACATTTTTTTTTTTTGATATTGTTGCAAATATCGGCCCAACTCTAATAGTTAATAACCTTAGCAATTTAAAATTGTATAGAAATGCATACCAACTATAATTAAATACTTGTAAATAGGGTGATATTGGAAGCATATTTTAAGTGATTTAACAGAAACAGATAAAGAGAAATATAGATTGGTCACCTTAAATTATAAAATATAAAATCCAATTGTTTAAATTAAACAAAAAATGTTTAACTATAAATATTGCTCATTTACTTATTAGTTTATATACTCGGTAACGGTCCAATATGCGACCTACACACTGATTTACGGTCCAATATGCGACCTACACACTGATTTACGGTCCAATATGCGACCTACACACTGATTTACGGTCCAATATGCGACCTACACACTGATGGTTCAATACGTGTAAAATACAAATAATTTTAATTTTTAACTAACCTTTTTTTCATTCCACTTCTCAGTGTCGTCAATAACTATATGTATTGTTTTTCATTCCACTTCTCAGTGTCGTCAATAACTATATGTATTGTTTCAGTCTGTATTGTTATGAAACGTATTTTTCATATCAGTCAAAAATGCATCAAAAATGGTTTTTGGATTTTGACACGATCTCCACCACTCTTCTTGGAGTTGTCGATCTAGTAAAGGAGACGCCCCATTTTTTTTTATATTATATTTGGATTTCACAATTCTCCATAAGCCTTCAATTTGTTGAGTGTGTGCTCCTGTTTCCGGGTCAATAAAAAATTCTGAATGGTTAACTGTTAGATGAATATATCCATGATGATTTAATGTTGAGTACGCTCTCCATTGGTCACTTTAAATTGTCGTTCCAGTTTTTATTTCATTTTTAATAATTTGTAAAAGAGTTTCTCGATCCCATTTTTCTACTATAAAAAATCGCCGTTCTAATAATAAGTCTGGCCGTTTCCAACAAATTCCAAATACCCATGGGCCTACTATACGATTCCCATAATTTTTATTTGTACGTACTATTTCATTTTCATCAGAATCTTCGTTGCTGGAATTACTTATTTCTCTTAATGGCTGATGGTCCCCACGCTGTAATCGACCACGGTTATACTTCCTTTTACCCTGAAAAAGGGATTCGTCAATTTGGACAGTACAACCAGGACCACCCATTTTCTCTCTTTTTGAAAAACAATATACTGGTATATCTCTGCATAAATTATACCAATCAATTATGGTGTTTTTGCTTCTTCTAGTCCAATTTACAGCTTGATTTATTGGAACTAAATTAACCCAGAACCAAACTATTTCCATTATTTCACATAATGATAGCTGACTATTACAACGGCCGTTAAGATCCGTGTATGTAAAAAAGTCACTATCTTTACGAATCGATTGGTAAGTTTGGCAACCCCGTTTTGTACATCGTAATGTTACAACTCTTTTCATAGTGCCATCAGAATTTCGTTTTTTACTACTTCTTAAATATTCCACAAGTTGGCCATTACATACGACACCGTCTTTCACCTTTATACATGTCATCGGATTATCAGCCAGTAATAGCCCTCGGTCTTTTAAATATTGAACACATACCACTTCATCTCTAATAATGTTCCTATATAGGTGACCAATAGTAGATGTCATGTTGAGTTTGAACAAAAAAATTCACACGCACAAAATAAAACTTAAATAAAAAATCACAAAACGAGCGCACGACACATACGAATGAAATCGGAACTGTACTAACTGAGGACAGTAAAGTATTATAAAAGATTGTAAGTAGGTATACCTATCGGAGAACAAAAATAAAATAAAATAGAATAAAATGCCCATAATGACAATTATCGCGATAAAGAAACCTGTAGATCAACTCAATCTTATCGGTAGGTCGAGGAACATTTGTAGGTCGCATATTGGACCGTTACCATATACTCTAACTACTTATTAGATTAGACTTAGGTTGTTTTTTATAAAATAATCTCTAACAATCTTACAATAATGAGAAATAGCAGCAAACTAGTAAAAAAATCCACATAATGTTTGCATTATTTATTTAGGTAATTCATTACTTTTAGTAAACTATATTATTGGGAATTTGTGCTCTAAGATAAAATATGCAGTTAAAATTGTAAAATAATTCTTTTAAACACCAAAAGATCGAGAATTCTCAAAAATATACTCTAAACAGTTTCAGATTTTCAATTATGATGCCTTTAAAGTTTAAACAAATGTTGTGCTTACATAGAATATTATAAGATGTACCAGAATCTTTGAAAATTCTTACAACTGTGTCACCTAATTATAAGCATTAATAACAATAATGGAACAACTAGAATTTTTCATTTGGAAGGGGAGGGGTGAGGTTCCAAAAACTACAAATTTATAATGTATTATCATAGAATTTAAAAAAATAGTTTTATTCCAAATATTATAGTGTAAAATCAGAAAAATCCTACCTATTATTGTTTTTGTTGTATAAATTAATGTTTTACAATTATTATCCTCTCACTAAAAAATGTAATTTGACATTTAGCACACTCTAGTGTGTATCCGTGGGGGAGGTCTATCCCTTTAATGCACCACTGATTAATAATGAAATAACTACTTATATACCATACTGTATTAATTATAAAGGTTTATTAAGTACATTGAATTATAGTGAATTAATCCATTTTATAGAAATGATAATGATATTATAGTTTTTGTCCTAGACAGTTCTTAGAAAATAATAACTTGTATTGCAAACTTTTAAAAATTATTTTTTAAACTTAATTATTTTGTAAACAATTTTATCAAATATTACTTAATATAATTCAATAATAATATTCAACTGAATGTCTAACCATTTTATCATAAACTAATTCTAGTTGGATCATATTAAAAGTATTAAATCTATGAAATTATTTTACTGGTCGCCTCAAAATGTTGTGACAATGATGTTGCAGTAAAATTATTGCATCAAAACATTGTAGCAGCTATCAAACATCCTTAATGTTGTAATGCATTATGTTATCTGGTTATCACTCTGAAAGATAAAAGAGTAATATTATTATTTTTACATTAGTTGGCTGCTTGCTGCCGCTCAGTGATTCAGTGTATAATAAAACCGTTTAAAAAAAAAAAATTTACATTGTATATTGAATTGATACTTTTACTTATTATGAATTATTATTTCTCACATCTTCCATTCATCATCTACACAATAAAATTATAAAAATATATTTATTGACATTTTTTAAATTTTTAAGTAACACTTTCATAGAGCTAAAAAATAGTTGCTAAACCCTGCAGATTATACAAAACTTGTTTTAATAATACTTAAAAAATATCCTTTATAAGTTTATATTTTAAAATTGTAATTAATAATTTAAAAAAAATTCTAGGTGGTAACAATGAGAATATTGTAGAATTCACTCCCAGTTACTCAGTTGACTATTGTAAAGTTGCCAAAGATACATATGCCATACAGTTGAATAATCATTCATATATGTTAAAGTTTAAAACACATATCGGTAAGTATTTTTAAATTGTTTATATTAATATAAAAAGTTTTATGAAGTTAAATAATTACTTATGTAAATATTTTAAAATTAGATTTATATGAATTCACTGTATTGCTGGATCGTGCTAAAAAAGGGAATGATCTCTCAGTTTTTTCTAATAGAACTGATGAAGCATCAGCTGCTCAATATTTCCAGGTAATTTATATTATACACCCTACTGTTATACATTTTTATTATTAAATATATTTATTTTTGATCAGTTTTATGGATATCTTTCTCAACAACAAAACATGTTACAAGACTATATACGTACAAGTACCTATCAAAAAGCAGTGCTTATCAATACCATAGACTTTCAAGACAAAGTTGTACTAGATGTAGGCGCCGGATCGGGGATATTATCATTTTTTTCTGTCCAAGCTGGTGCTAAAAAAGTTTATGCTGTGGAAGCAAGTTCAATGGCACAACATGCTCAGGTATAAAATATTTAAGTTAATAATAATAATAATAATAAATCCATCTATTTATTTTTTTTATTTGAAGACGTTGGTAGATTCTAATAATTTGGGAGACAAAGTTTTTATTGTTGCTGGTAAAATTGAAGAAATTGATTTACCCGAAAAAGTAGATGTTATTATATCAGAACCAATGGGATATATGCTCTACAATGAACGCATGCTTGAAACCTATTTGCACGCTAAAAAGTGGTTAAAACCTGGAGGTAATGTATATTATTTATACTACTGATTATTCAAAACAAATATTAAGTAGAGTTAATTATAATATATTAATTGTATTATTGTTGGTACTAATTATTTATAATTTATAGGAAAAATGTATCCTAGTAAAGGGGATTTGCACATAGCTCCTTTCACTGATGATGCATTATTCATGGAACAAACAAATAAAGCTAGTTTTTGGTATGTAAAATATATTGTTATAATAGATCTATACTCTATTCCAAATAAGAGCTCCACTGCCTTGACCCACATAAATAAGCCGCAGTTTAAATGCTGAACCCCCTAGCAATGTCTAATCATTCGGTGATCAGTGGATTGTTTGTTGTTAGTCGGCTACTGTGCATACGGTGGTAGAAACAATCTGGAGTGGGGTATAAGTGCACAAGTTAAACCCGTTTTTGTTCACTACCCAGTACACTATACTACAGTAAATAGTTTGCTGAAATTTTTTATTATTAATTCCCTGCTTCATTTGGTTGTTATTGATTTAACCTTTTGTATTTTTTATATTCGTTCTTTTCTGTAGATATTGTCTGCAGTACTTATATAATATATTATTAACCTTTTGTTAATACTGAATAATAAACATTTTTATAATTAACTAAATTTTTGTGCGGAGAATATAAGATAAATAAAGTAACAAATTTTTATAGGTACACAATAAATAATTTTCAACTGAAATTTAATAAAAATAAATTACATTTTTATATACCTACAGTATTTTTATTTGCTGTTTTATAAATTATTTTATATTTACTCGTTACCTCTTCATGATCAGAATCTATATTACTCAAGTGTTCATCTAGATGAATGTCGAACTGTACATTTAAAACATGATGCACAGTAACACTTGCAACTGAGCGCTTCATCCCTTGTTTTATATAACGTCATCTAACATCCAAGAGGACGGAACTCGGAGGGATGGTGCATTTTTTTTTTGGTTTATCATGGTCTGGAGACAAAACTTTCTGCCAAATTTCAAAACTTAAATATTTTTGTAAGGTATAACCCCCTATTGACTGGACTAATTATAATATTGCTCGAAATGGATTAGATACCAAACAAAATTTGAATACATTTTCTTATAGGTTGGTTTTTAAAAAAAATAATCTAATTACATTTTTTTATTTGAAGGGTTCAGTCGTGTTTTCATGGAGTTGATCTGAGTTCATTACGAGATATGGCCATGCGAGAATATTTTCGACAGCCAATAGTTGATACGTTTGATATTCGTATTTGCCTTGCCAAGTCTGTCAAACATAGCTTGGATTTTCTCACAGCTACAGAACAACAATTGCACAAAATTGACATTCCACTTGAGTATTATATACTTGAATCTGGAACGATTCATGGATTAGCTTTTTGGTTTGATGTTGCATTTCAAGGCAGCAGCCAAACTCTGTGGCTATCTACCTCACCTACTGAATCGTTAACTCATTGGTATCAAGTCAGGTGCCTTCTAGAAAAGCCTATTCTTGTTAAAGTTGGTCAAATTTTAACTGGTAGTGTATCACTTCAAGCCAATGTTAGGTTAGTATATTAAACTCTAATATCATTCAGTAATTTAATTTGTATTACTTAATATTCTAATAAAAATAATTAATATGTTTTTAGACAAAGTTATGATGTTTTCATAAATTTAATGATTGATGGGCTTCCACATACATGTTCTTCCAACAATTTGGATCTGAAAAACCCATACTTTCGGTATACTGGTCAACCGCCTCAACCTCCTCCCGGTGTCAATACTATATCACCCAGTGAGAGTTATTGGGCCAACTTGGATCTCCAAAGTACTACATCTGGTATTTTTTATAATAGTATTGAGTATCATAATCTTACTAACAATGGTGAAACTTGATTTAAATAGCTTTAAATATGGTTAATGGCATTCCATTGAATGGTTATGCTACAGACATTTCCATGGATATGCAAACATCTCCAACTGCTGTTGCTAATAATACAAATCTAATAAATTTAGGTAATTGAGTAAAGACAATTATATTATATAATTAGTAACTTTTATAACAGAAACAAATAAATGTATTTGTTTTATTAAATAGTTACCGTACCTCAACCAAATATTCATCCAGGATCTATAAGTAGTACTGGAAGACAACGAGTCAGCACAGCTACTTCTACAGCAGGAGCACAACTTATTGGTGGTGGAATATCTCCCACCTTATTTACTTCCAACCAGGTAGATATTAAGTAGATTTATTGTTGTAAAACAAATGTTCCAAATGTAATACTAAGTATTAATTGCCCGTTAGTTTTAAAATATAAACGTAGAATGATTGAATGTATGCCTTCCAATTTAAAAGATATTTTTTTCAAACAATTTAGTAATTTCGTTTTTTTATTCATAATAATTATTTTAATTGACCATAACTTTTTTAGAACCAAAACCAACAACTTTCGTTAGGTGCAGCGACAGCTGCTGCAGGAGGTTCAACCACTGCTATGGGAAACTATCCAGTTAACAACAGTTTAATGATTGGAGACTATGTTGCGCCCAGCACTGGTGTTTTAAATATTTCATATCGTTAAATTATTACATTATGGTTTATTTGTATTTACAAAATGAATCTTAAGCCGCGACTATTTCAAAATCACTTGAGGAGATTTATTTCTCCTTCCATAAATTTACCATCTACTCAAATAATTATATATATACAATATAATATGTATAGTTTAAATGTTTTAATACAAACTATTTTTATTTATAATTTTAAACTCAAGTAGGATAATTAATAATTTTAAAAAGGAAATGTTTTCCTGTTACTCATTTTTTCATAAGAAAAAATATATTTATAGGCTTCAATATGATAAACACCCGTTATTTTTTACATTTTGATAAAAAAAAAATACAAATTGGTTTTAAACACTTAACAACTCTTAGCAACAAATTTTCTGTATTTCCAAATTATATTATACAATTAATATGTATAGATTTATATACTTGCTTCAAAATTGTTGTATTAGTTTATGGCTGAATGATAAACAATTTAAAAAAAAAATAGTAATATGGTACATAATATGTATGAAAAACAATTATAAGTATTAATTATTTTATAAATAAAAAATAATAATATTAATATGATAAAAATATCGAAAATAATTATACTAGAATATATTATTAATTTTTGAGGAACATATTACATATTGTTATTTTATAGTGTATAATACTTTTTAGTTAGACCTTTGTTGCTGATGTATTGTTAAGGTTGATTATATGAATCAATGATGATTTGGCAATAACTTTATGTATACTTTTTTATAACTATTTTTCTTTGTAATGTTATTTTTAATTTGGTAAAAATTAATACCTAAGGTGTGCATTATTCTACCTTTTTCACTGATTATTTACATGTGTTCTTCATTCTCTAATGTTATTTGAATATAAAATATCATAGCTTTTTTACAATATACTTAAATATTAATTAATTATTGTGATTCCTATGTATACATAATATATAAATATTAATATATAGTAATATTTTAATTAAGATAGTGCCGTTTGTAAAGCTTAAAAATAATAAATGTTCAAATAAATTTATCACCACTACCAACTATTTTATTTGATAAAAAAATTATATTTTTATATCCCACGTGTAACTATTACATCTATATACCTATTTGAAAATAGTCGACAATTTATTATAAAATGTAATTTCTGATTCCTTAATTATGTAATGATAGATAAGGTGAGATAACTTGTACATTGTTATGAACATAATATTATTATCATTAAAAACAAGTTTTAATTAAGTTAATATGGTAAAAAGATAGATACAAGTAACTTACTACCAGTTTTGTTTTTATTAACTTTCTAATTTGGGTGGGCAAACATTTTCCAAAACATCAATTTTTTTATACAAATTATTTATTTATAGTTACATGTATTATTTAAAGTGCATTTAGCTATTTTTAATTTAAAATTGTATTGTTTTTTTGTAGATTTTCAATACATAGATTCAAAATAAATATATATAAATATTGTATTTCTAAAGTTCTACCAATCGCTCGGGGTAAATAATCTTTTAGCTCAAATATAGACTTTATATTAAATGTTAAGAGGTAAGTCAAAACTTAAAAAATAGCAAGTGTAAGTTATTCAATTTAATGTCTTTTATTATTCCTGAAGAATCTATAAACCCCATTAAATGGAAATTTGTCTAGATCCAGATGAATACTTCATATTAAACTGATCAGTAGCTATATTACATACATATTACAGTCGTGTTATAAATCAGTCCATAACAATGTATTTTTTTAATTTACTTCCTTATTTACATATTAGAAAAAACATAATCTTTGACTCGATTGAGAAATCGAGAAATTTCTTTATTGGCTGCATAATAACTAGTTGGCAGGACTGCTATGTGAGCTACCAAACTACTGCTGTAGCCTGTTGCAAACTAGCAGTAAATAAGTATAAATTGTTTTATTCTTATTGTTAACTCTTAGCTTTTCTCATATCAAGAATTGCAATTTGCAAAACAACAAACTAAAAAGCAATAGCCCAATAGCTAATATGAATAATAAATATTATAATACTGTAACTTATATAAAGGTCCACACTTCAAGGTTAGTGGTACTGCCAAGATGAAAAAATTGTTCCGCCATTTATAATTAAAGTATTAAACATCTGGTTGGTTTCTTTTACATTAATATGTATTATTGTACTATAAATACATCGCTATATTTATATTTATAAAATAATTTTATTTATCCCCTTTTTATGTGTGTCCCCCTATCTCTCATTTTTTATTATTATTACTATGTAGCCATGTAGGTTCCCCATTTACGTGTCTCCCCATAAATATTTTTAAATAAAATCTGTTCTCATCAGCTTAACACGAGTGTTACTCTCTTTGCGCTGCGATTCCCGGCGCCTCGAAAAGTATAACAATTGTGCGCAGCCGACCCAGATCCCGCATAACATACACTTTTTTCTGATACCGACCCGAGTGTAACTCGATCTCCTTCTGTGTCATATTGAATGAATTATATGTGTGTGTATTTGTCTCTTGTAACTGCGTATTTAATACGGCCTTTGCCTCGAAAAGTCTAGTTACTCGTACCGCGCCTTCGTGCTGGGCCAGCTTCCTGGAAATTGCACAAATTACCCAGAGGTAGAAGGTGGGGCCTAGGTTCGTATTAAACGTAGTTGGTATCTACTCAACCTGCCCGTAGCGCAATCTACGCTAAAAATACGTAAGGTGGTGGCACACCGTAAAAGCGGAGTCCCTCGGCCACTAGCTGGCCCAAACTGTGGTACAATACACGTTAAACATAGGGCGCATTACTTAAGAACTGTCCCCTCACACATACATGACCTGTCACTCACACTTGTGGTGTCACTCCACATCTGCACTCTGAGGAATTCAGCGACGAACAACCAGGGCATCCAGCCAGCAGACACCGGACCTCCATACCGGCTCAAGCCAGATCGCCGGCCCCTCCGACAGGCCAGATGTCACTACGACCCAGAGGACCCGTCCAAGACCCAACATAAGTCACGATGCCCAGACCCACGCAAATCCACTTACGCCGCCTACGAATACAGCAGCAGCCAGAGTACAGCCACGGCTCGAGGGAACAACGCTGCATTACTACTTCCCGCAGCCAACCACGATATCCTGCCCCCACGGAGACTGCTACGCGAAATTCCATGCGGAGGTATGGACTAACGCGAAGTAATCACTTGGCAGACACCTGAAGGCGATGCACACCGAGCCCGAGTCGATGACAGTGATCTGCGCTGGTTGCAGCGTAAGGCTTATTGGCATAAGGCCCGATAACCATCGATGCCCGGATTCGTCCAACCTAACCTAACCATTTAAGCTAACTATATAATAAGCTAAACGTCAACTGCCGAGCGTGAATTTTCCATGTTACGCACTAGTAAGACAGAGACAACAAATGGGTGTGTAGTCCTCTTCAGAAGTACAGGACAGTAATGACGACGGCTGTTACATTTCATGCTTCTTTCAAAACAAGCACACATCGAACGGTTTTACAAGCACTTTTACGCAAACAACCAGTTTTGTAAAAAATACTTTTGAAAAAGTATTAAGACATTAATACTAGTATTCGAATTAAAAGGTATTTTTAATATTTTTAAAATACTATTATAAAAATGTATTTTACAAGTGCGCACAAAGTATTTGAATACAAATACAAGTATTTTTTTAAATTGTATGCTATATAATATATATATGTATATTGTACAATTTATACATCAGTATAGGTATATTATAGTATTATGTTACAACTTACTTTTATACCATTCTATTTTAATATGGCCTTGACAATAACTAATAAGAAAGCATTTATCTTTGATACTCGTGGTATTAATGAATATGAAATTTAATTTTTGGAGTTCAGATTTACAGATTGAGCCGATGATGTACATAATATATGGTTTGATAACTATCAGTGCATAATATTAAACTTTGTATAATTATCTGTAACACAAGTAGGTATAAATAATATATTATTTTACATGTATAGGTACAAGTATGATTAAAAGTTAAATTACTCTTTAGAAAAAAATAATACCAACTGTAATTACAAAATAAATAATAACCGTTGCATTTATTAATAAATTATTAATATTATTATTTATTGATATTAGTTACAATCTATAGCAATTAACAGTATAGAATTAAGCAAAATAATATTTAAAAAAAATCAAAATATGCTAATCTTTACTAAATTTTGAATTACTTTATAATAGCATAGTTTTTTCAAAATTTGATTCGCATATTGTATTTCATAAAAACTTTTTTTAGAATGAAAGTATTATTTAATACATTAAATTTTATAAATATAATTGTATAAATTATAATCTATGAAACTATAAGTACGTAATCGTACGATTATTATTAGCTATTTAAAAATAACAATAATACAATAAATTATTCTTAGAAGTACCAACTATATAGTAATAATACATTATAGTATTATTGCCAATATTGTTTTAACAAAAACGATATTATTTTTATTGATGTCGATTTTTTGTTAAAAATAATAAATTAAAATTATTAAAACGGACTTTATGGTATTTAAATTTTGTTGAAAATACTTTTCAATAGTATTCAATACTACACAAAATTTCACAAAAAATTACATCTACACCAAAATTCTTTTATCTCCCACCTCTCATCACATACACTTCCTGACAATCCCCCTCGCCGCCTTATTAGATTCTGGTGTCGTGATCTTCTATGATTTAATATAAAATAAAAATAAATCAATAAATTATGTTTAATTTAAATCTGAAGGGTTCTATCATTGGATGGCTTCCCTTATCCTGTCATTCTGCCATTATATTATATTGTTTGTTGAACATATTATCACATTTACTTATTGTGTTTTTGAAATACAGATTGTAAATTTTCAAAAAAAAAAAGTATTCAAAATACTTAAAAAATACATTAAAAAAATTGTATTTAATACTTGTATTAGAATACTTAACAAGACTGCAAACAACTTAGGAACCTGATACAGATAGCTTTTAAGGAATATAATATAGGATATAGACTAATTTCCAAGAGTGTCCGGGTGTCGTGTGAATATGTGGGACGTGGGTAGTACTCAAGTAGGGATACGTATTGTAATCTACTTGATGTGTGTGATTGTAGTATAAAAAAATAACAGAAAGCT